AAAAAATGCAGAATGAACAGCAGCAGTACACAACAAAGTAGACAATTAAAAATAGTATTTTTAATGAATCGAATCATTAATAATGAAATTCTGGGCATATACCACATAATCAGAGATAAAGTACAAAATTTTCATACATAAACAGCAGATTTTATCCTACAATATGATTCTGAGGTAATTAAGAAAGGTAAGCTATTTTACCAATTTGCTAGGCCAAGATCTCTACAGCATCATTGGAAATTCTAATGCATTTTTCAACAAACAGCATTACACATCTGTCAAATAAACTGCATTAATCTGCAAAACAACACATTAAAATAATACAACTAATTAACATATTGGCTCAAAAAAGGCATAACGAAGAGCAACTTCTACACAAATTCAGTAATAATGGCACATTTACTTGAAATATCCTCAATCAAAAGTTTACTAGTAAAGCTTTTACATGTGTTAGAAATTTTCGTGGTTACTTAAAAAAAAATGGAAACAGTAATCTCTACACGACCTAAATGAAAATGGCGCATTTATCTAAAAACACGGTAATCGGCCAGAAATCTACCAGCACATAAAACAGAAAATTGAGCATGAAAAAATATACGCATGCAAAAATTACTTTTCATATTTTATAATAAATATAAGATATAAAGCAAACACTTACCAGAGAAATAGAAAAACTTGGTTATTTGACGAAAAACCTGAAATTTGCCATTTGCTATTGCGCACATCTAAAAACAAAACAACTTCAAATTAATCAAGGCAAAATGTGTAAATTTGGAAAAAAGGTATTAAAAATATTAAAAATTTATGGGAGAATTTTAGCATACTTACGGATCAAAAACACGACCACTCTTCAACCACAGTTCCAGAAATAAGAATGAGCCAATGACGCCAAATTACTTGGCGAGAAAGTTATTAGTAGATCTTCATGCAACCCAGAGAATCTCGTAACTCCTCCCATTTTTCCCCCCTTTTTTCTCGTGAAGATAACCTGTCAACAACGAATTCCAAGATGGAGGAGGTGGATGAAATAGTTTTACATACATTGCGTCAAATCGGATGTGATGTTGATGACGTTCATAGTTTAAAAGAATTCACTACTGAATCTGCTATTGAAGGTGTTATTCGTTGTTTGAAGCTCATAAACCCGTCTTTGGAAATATCTCATCATGTTCCACCAAGTATGTCTGCTAGATACCGATTGGGATCAACATTGGCTTCCATATGTAAAGATCTGGGATACAAAGGTGAAATAGGATATCAAACCTTTATGTATTCCAATGAAACAGATTTAAGGAAAATATTTCTTTTTCTTTTTGAAAATTTGCCGAAAGAAAGTGAGAAAGCTTTGGAAGAACCATTGAATAAAACGGCATTGATAATTAAAGAGGCAGGTTCGTATTTTAGTCGATGCTTTAGTAATCCTTGGCTACCGTATTACTGTAAAAATGAGTTATTTACTGATGCAAAGTTTTTAATGAAAACCCCAGTTTCTTCCTTGGTGCCTTGCCAGACTATTGTGCTGTTTACCCCTGTAAGTTATAATAACGTACAAAATAAAAAATCATATCTTAAATATTACGAAAGTTGTTTACCTATTATTTCAAAGCAAATGAGTGTAGGCCCTCGTCTGAATGCATCTGTGCTTGAATCAAATTCTTTAAACTTTATAAATCAATGTGTGAGTGAATGGAACCAAGATGATTTGACACCTATGCTAAATAAAAAAGAACTGGTAGTACAAAAACAGGCTAAAATAAAAAAGACAATTAATGATTGGTTAGTACAAGCCTTGCAACAAAGGAAAGATGTTTCTGATAAATTGGAAGATATTTTAGGAAAAACTGTAGGTAATCAAGAAATATGTGGTTCAAGATTTACACATTCTCTTGAATTGCAGTTTACATCTGATAAGAAGGAAAATGCTACACTTACAGGTTTCCTAACCAGCAAAAAAGATGACTCGGAAGAAGATAAGCATAAGAAAAGGGAGTTGGAAATAAAAGACCTTCAAGAAAAAGTTGATACTTTATCAGCTAAACTTGAATCACTTGTAGTAGAAAATAAGAATTATGAAACATCATCTCAGAATATCATGGACCTCATACGAAAGCAGCAAGAAAACATAGATGAAGTGAGAGAACGTTATAGAGTTAAAAAGTGCACTCTTTCATTGTTGCCAGAAGCTGAAACAAATATTGAGAAATTACAAGGATTGATTGATGCAAGTTCACAGAGATTAGTATCCTTAGCAAACCAGTGGGAACAGCATAGAGTTCCACTTATAGAACAATATCGTGAGCTAAAAGAGCTGTCTTCTCGTAGGGTGAGTGAAACTCAAAGAAAATTCGAAGAAATAAAATTGTTAAGAGAAAAGATACGAAATTTAGGTGCTGAAGCTCGACAGAAAGAAGATATGCACAAACATCTGATTACTGCTTATGAAAAGCTGACAAAAGATGTGAGTCGATCAGCTTATACAAGGAGAATTATGGAAATAGTTGGAAACATAAAAAAACAGAAAGCAGAAATTGATAAAGTTCTTTTAGATACAAGGAATGTACAAAAAGAAATTAACAAGTTATCTGGAAAGTTAGAAAGAACATTCACTGTCACTGATGAGCTCATATTTAGAGATGCAAAAAAAGATGAAGCAATACGTCAAGCTTATAAATACGTTGCAGCTCTTCATGAAAACAGCAGCCAATTAATATTAATTGTAGAAGAAACTGGTGCTATAATGAGAGAAATTAGAGAACTGGAAGATCAGATTGAACAAGAAAACCAGAAGAAGATAACTGCAACATTAGAAAGGATCACCTCTGATTATAAACAAATGCAACAAGAAAATGCATCCTTGCTAGCTCAACTGAAAGGATTTTCTTGATTTAGATATTAGTCATTTTATAGCTAAAAATAATGAACATATCAAATGCATCTTTGGACCAATTTTTAATAATACATGATTGGTAATAATTAAATTAAAATATATTCTATTCAGTTAAAATTTTTAAATCTAGGAGAACTTTTGACAAATTAACCCAGTGAAACAGTATTAAATATTGTAATTAAGATAATGTATCTAATTCTGTTCAAGTTGCACTTTTATATTGTAGATAATGTGTAGTTGGATTTGGTGTTATCATTATAAGATATATGATTTTTTTATTTTAATATTAAATCAATAAAATTTGAAAGCTTTTGTGGTTTAAAAGTCTCTATTTTAGAAAATAACATTTTTAAGTGTCTCTGTTTGCTTGGACATTATGCTATAATGATATTTATATGTTTGTCATTTTGTAATACCGAAAGCTTTGAGTGTGGTTGAGTTAGAATTTTTTAAAAGATAACCTTCATTAAATAAAAAGAAGTGAGGATTTGAATAAATTAAATAAGTGTTAAAACCACTTACAGATATATTAAAACTTTGATGCTTGTAAATATACATTAAAAGTAGTGCATATTATATGTTGAAAAGCATTTTGCTGACATTTTATTCTGTTAAGATATAATAATTTCGATAAGAATCTTGAGCAAAAAATTGGATTGCTGTTTATTAATAGTTTGGAGAGGAAAGTTGTTCCTTCAGAAAATTAATACAAAAAAAAAGATGTATTTTTATGCTAAGATATAGTATTGTTTAATGTATTATGAATTTTAAGAAAGAGAAATTTAATGTTATATAAATAATAATCACACAATATATAACTTTTTTTGTTGCATCTGTTTTATTTAAAATGAAATTTATTTCAATTTAAATTGATAAATATTTTTATAATTGGATATTATTCTTTTCAGATAATAAATATTGAATTATATTTTAATTAGGTGATGCTGTAATATTTTATAAAACTTGAGTTATTTTTATTTCAACTGAATATTCTTTTGTATCAAACATTGATCAGTGTTAAGCATAAAATTTTTACATGTTTAATAATGATATTATGATAGTGATATTTAATTCCTAATTACAGTAGCCAGTCTTTACAATTTAAGTTCAGAAGATTTGTTCCGAGATTGATTAATAGTTTGTCAATAAAGCAGGCACTGGAATATTTGTACTAACATATTGTATGCATAAAAAAATGCAGTGGTCCACAAAATCAAGTAAACAGCCAGCAATTAATTCATTATTTTGATTCTGTAATAGTAGTAACAATAACAACTGATAATAATTAACCCGTTTTATAATTTGTTGGGTAACTTCTGATAATCCCCATCTTCTGAAAAGTTGTGAAAATGTATTAAATGAGCAGTATGCTTTGTTGCTAAAGTAAAGAGTAATTACTACTTTTCTGTTAAAGAAACGCAAGTAATTATATGGTAACCTATCATATTGCCAAGAAGTTAATGTGGCAATACGTGTATATATACAGTATCCACTCAAAAGATTTTTCTGTTTCTTTAGGTATCATAATCTGCAGTCACAACAGTGTTTTTACCGTTGTGACTACAGATTCTGCCTATGAGGATTTCTGTGTTTTAGCATAGCAATGGACCACATACTACAGTTTTCGTTATCTTCAGTGAAGTTTTTTTCTTCACTTCCTGCACACATACAGCGTAATCAGGTTTATTTAAAGGTATCGTGCACCTCTTTCTATTCTCATTTTCCGATTTTGGCAACAAGGTTATGCATGATGAAGAGTTTGTGCAATTCTTTGTTGTTGTTTTTTAAGTGAAACAGATTGCTGAGTACATGGAGGGGGGAGAACAATAAATGTGTATATCTTGTATGGAAGAGAATTGAAAAAAAGATGGGCTCTATTCTTATATGTGCCCTAAGATCATCAAATGTGGCGATATGTGTTCTGCGCTGGTTTTTGGTTTGATTGCCTGTTGTGTGGCAACCCTTTTGATGTTGAAAACTCTTTTATTGGAGTGGTTTAATTGCTTGATGGTTCGTGTCGTATGTGTTTTGAAATGGCGTATGTTGCAATGAGAGACGTGGTTGCAAGAGGGTCTGGGAAATTATTTTTAGTGGCTATGCATGATAGAAGTAAGGAAATGGTGATGCAATGTATTAAAGAGTGGCTTGAGCCTCGTACAACTATTTTTTTGGATGGCTGGAAATCTTACAAGGATTTCGGAAAAGATTTTGAACATTTATTTGTGAATCATAGTATGAATTTTGTGGATAGCGAGTCTGGCTGTCATATGAATACCACAGAGAGTACGTGGTGGCATGTTAAAGCTATATTCTGCTGTCCGAAAAAACATCCATTATGGTAAGTGCATTTTATTTTATTTTTGTAGAATGTTATGTTATTGACAGTCTGTTAAGATAAAGGTTCTGGTTTAGAACATTTATATTTTTTAATACTATTGCGATAGGAAGAGAGCACAGCGAAATTATGTCCAAGCAGCACAGGGGGAGAAGCTGAAAGTACACATTTATCCAATATGGTAGTCTGTTAAGAAAAAGGTTTAGGTTAGAAAGGCTTCAGTTCTCGGAGTTTAGGTTCTGAAATAGCTGTCATCAGTGTTATACAAGCTCTGTGGTATAGATTAATCTAGAAATGGCACAGTCCAGCAATGTTAAAATTAAAAATAAGGAATTAAGAGACTATAACTAAATTAAATTATAAAGCTGATTTATGTATTTTTTATCTTACACACACACACACTCATATATAATATGTTGTATTTTAAATGCGTAGAAGGAAAAATCTGGTACTTTTTAACATCTCTCAATATTTATCATAACTGAAAAATACCATAGTAACTGAAGGTAGGGCTGAGTGGAAAAGCATGATGATGCATTTAGCAAGACTGAGCTTGAAGAATCACAATCTTAATTTTTTTATGCATATTAAATCATTCTTTTGCAGACGAGATTTTTTAATTATAGTTGAATATAATAAGTTCCATTTTGAAGTACAACATCATCTTAGGCAAATAACCAGCAGCATCTTACCAGCAGGGAAATGTAAATGAAAGAGAATGCTGCAACACAGAGGAAGAAGGGAGGGTAGTTTTTTGTTTAGTTCAGTTCGAGTTAGAAGTTTTGGTTTACAATTATTTGATTGGGCAGGAGATATCTGCATCAAGCATTAAATAATATGGAAGGATCTTGAATTTGGGAGAACAGATGAATTTAGGGGGGAGTGCCAAATCTAGAAGTTAATTTTGAGGTTGCCAATTATTTTAAAAGCAGCTATCATATTTAGTTATATATATCTCTCTCTCACACACACACACACATATATATATATATATACTCGCACACTGTGTTTTCCTTCCTTCCCTCAGAAATAGAACATACTGTATAATTTCTCCCTTTTGATATTTATAAAGTAAAAATATTTAAAAAAAGGGAAAAATAAAGAAGTAAGTACAATTTTAATTAAAATATGGTCCATACAATTTTCAAAATGTTTTATTAAACTGTTGTAATTTAATTGAGCAAATATTTCAAACAGCATCTTATTTAGCTACTATTTTTCACATTAGAATAATACTGATGTATTATTTTAAAACTTCATTTGAAGTTTAGAGTTATAATTTATAAAATGTAGTGCCATGATAACCCTATAACGAACAATAGCCCGGTATGAAACTTTATGACTAATTGTCAAGAGTAACTCGCATTTCTTGAAATTACGAGAACTCCTTGGTGAAATTATGTTTTTTGTCATCACTTCAGTTAGAAGTTTATGTAAATTGACATCACATCAGTTAGAAGTAACTATTTGTGCAGTTCTGTGGCTTTTTTAAGTGAATACAGATACCTGTGTACATGGGAAAACAACTGCAAGCGCAATGCCAAATTTTTGCAGTTTTTATTTTTTATTTGAAAACAGACTGCTATGTATATGGGGAGAACTGAGTGTGCACAATATCAAGTTTCTGCAGTTCTGGGATTTTTTTATAAAGCTAAAATAAATTGTCGTGCACATGGCAACAATACTGCAAATGTTATGATTTTAGTCATCTTAGAAAGATGATTATTGGCGATTTTCAGTTATCAGTTTGCTTGAAGAGTTGTGAAATCTGTGAACAAAATATGAAGATAAAATTGAAATATGACAGTTTGTTAAAATGGCAGTATTAATATAGTTATGTATAATTATAAGGATATAAGGTTGAATTTGAGTTCGGCAATCCTACTAGACAACTAGCATGTTATCTATGTCTGTAAATAGTGTGACAGAGATTTGCGAAGGTTTAAACAACTTTTTTATTTAACTGAACTCTTAACATAAAAGGCATGACTTGTACTACAAATAACCACTATTTGTGGCGATGTAAACTAATAACAGATACTTCAATTTAAACGTTTCTGAAAGTAAAGATTATACAGTCAAATAAATAAGCTATAAGCAGGTTCAACTAACTTTACCAACGCACAAGTTTAAAACAGTCGCCTGCAAGAGAATGCAAAGCTGAGGTAATTTAATTTAGATACAGCTGACAAAGTCTAACAGAATTATGCGAGATCCAAAACCATTAGTTTACATACAATTAAAGTGATTTGTATTCTGGTAAGGAATATGGAAAGAAAAAAATTAAAGTTGTTGTTTTTGAAATTTTGTTCTTAAAAGGCCTTGAGAGTTAAATGCAGTAATACGTGTAGAACTGAGGTTCTCTTCCTAAAGGAGTACAAATTGCACCAAGTTGAAAACATAAGATTTAATCGGTGACTTTCCTTACATTTAACAAAGTAGATGAGCATATCATGTCAGACTATGACACGTTAGTGAATCATATGATGGATAACATATGAATGTACTTGACTGGTACAACATGATTTGAGTCTGCCTAACAGTTTATTCAGACAGGCAGGTACTTGGCGATGTAGAAAAATTATCCAGAATACTTGGGCTAGATTCCTATTATAATGTAGTCTTCCACTGCAATATTCCATGTTAGGACTCCATGCATCACATTGCCACACCACGCTTGAGACATTCATGGCTACTGACCACGTCAACAAACACCCTGGATAGGCATATCAGGAAGGACACAGTCTTCACCACCATCAGAACATAAAGTCTTCAGCAGAACCAGGAGGACACACAGTTGACACCACATACTTGTTCTCTCTCTGTTGGGAGGATTCTAATACTGATTATATAGTTCACCTTTTCTGCTCAGTGCAGTTGCAAACAGGAAGAAAGCAAATTCCAACAAAAGTGACAATCAAAGGCATAATAATTGGTTAATTAACCTTGCAAAGTCTAATAGTAAAGCAAATGATTGATTACCT